GGTGCCTCGGCTTATATTCGGGTCGGCTTATACTCGAGTATATACGGTAAATACAGCTTAAAACTGAAAGCATGCAGGACTTTTTTACACAGCTGTATATATTCCAATGAGGGGTTCTAGCCAGCATTACTGTAGTTTGCTCATGTGCGTGCTTTGCGCACCTGAGCTGGATACGCATGCCCATTCAATAGTAATTGTACCGTGCATGCATAGAACACATAAAAAAGATGGTGTGGGAAATGGAGGCGACCGGGGAACTGATTTGGGGGCGGGGCCAGCCTGGGTCTCTCCTGGTTCTGTGATCCATGCCAGTATACCATTACCACTTTGGCTGAACTGGACCAAACCGGTAAGAACCAACCTCTGATTCCAATATAGTACATTCCTCCTATATTTGAATCTAGAAATCCACCCATTGCTTTCCCTAATTTGATTGGGACTGGCCCTTCTTTGATACAGCATATACTTTGTGACAAATCGTTCACTGCAGATTATTGCCAAGGTGATAAACAAGGCCTACATACTAATTATTATATTCATTTTAATGATTTTGTCTGATGAAAAGCTAAGTAACAGCTTTGATCTGTATGATACATTCAACATATTAGGAGACTTATCTATGTATTTTTAAAAAGTACTATCAGTTTGCCATGCTGCCAAATATTATGTGTATTTTGATATGAGTTCAGTTTCCACAAAAATGGTCAAACATACATTATAAAAGGACTAACACAGACTTAGAAAGACTAAGAAAGGCATCTTTTACAACTATAAAAACAATATGCAACTTTTATTTATTACAACTAAGCTGTATTGTTTATACATTTAATGTGAAGTAAGCTAGCTAATCAGAATACAACTAACAGATCTGTATTCTGTGCTTTATTGGATAAAATTGCCATCTCAAGACAAACAGGGAACTATAAAACAACATTTAAAGCTTCATGAAAAACATAGACAGAATGAAGAAATCTGAGGGCGCAGTTCACCCATCCTCTTCTACAAAGACTTAATTGGTACACTTTTAACTGAAGAACAATTACATATCAACCGTTTGTAACAGACTAACAGTTTCCTTAAATTCATTGCCAGTCTCTACAACAACATTCCATTAAGCATATATGCAATCAGATACCTATGATGAATTAAATAGTTGGGGGGGGGGGATTTCCCCAAAGGCAAACAGCCACCACAAATTTTCATATTTACTTTCACGCTCTATCAATTCATCTAGAAGCTTTGAGAATGACACTGTTATTTTTGTGCACTGATACAAGACTTACCACTTGCCCATTTTGAGGATTTTTATGAGCATATGGAGGTCCTCGGATGTGATTCCACATTTGGCCAGAAGTCATTGCAAAAACAACGCACTGAGAAATAAGCAGAAATAAAATATTAATTTACATACATACATACATACATACATACATACATTATTTACAGAGGCGGTAAGAAAAGAGGGGAAGAATACGTTACATACTGATGTAATCTAGCTTTAGAAAGAAAATCCTAATTTGTGGAAATGGTTTTTACAATCCGCCTGGTGATTTAGCTTCACTATCAATAAAAGAAGACTTAATAGATAAGCAAAATATGATTTAATCCTATCATGAGAATACAGGTTTATTCTGGACTGGCCTCATTAATGGATTTAATTTTTATCCAATATGAAAAATTACAGTGATAAGATCAATTATTTGGGGTTGAAAACTAGTTCATTTTTAAGACTAATCCTCTTTTCAGACTCATACCATATGGCAGGTATATGTTACATTCTTCCAGAAGCCCAAGATATAATAGAGGACAATGCCAGCCAGCATTAGGATATACACCTTTCATATGACCCATTGCATAGAAATGGGAGGAAAATACAGATAGTTCTCGACTTAGGACAGTAATAGAATAGAATAGAATTCTTTATTGGCCAAGGACACTCAAGGAATTTGTCTTTGGTGCATATGCTCTCAGTGTACATAAAAAGACAAGATACATTCGTCAAGAATCATAAGGTACAACACTTTGAGTATTGGGAATTGTTGTGAAACTGACACCTAGGCAAGGAAGAGGGATCAAGTGGAGAATTAGCCTTGAGTTGTTATACAGCTGCAAGAGAACTAGGGATGAACCTCCTTCTAAGTTCCATGTGACCTTTTTTTGTTGTTCCCAAGAAAAGGCAAGCAGTCTGGGGAGATTCTTATATTACAGGCAGAATACAATAGTTACATTGAAACCTACAAGTGTGATCTGGTTGCTTATGTCTGACAGTAATACAGCCCAGAATTATGGCTGTAAGTCACTGCAGTTGTAAGCCAAGGCCCAATTTTAAGGCTTTTTTCAAAAGTTAAGCAAATGCTGCAATCGTTAAGCAAACCCATTCATTTGAAAGGGTATTTTTGCCAGGAACTAGCAAAAAATTCAGAAATTATAGTCCTGCAACCAAGAAATTGTGCAACCAGTGGTAAAGCTGGCTACCCCACTGAACTTGGTTGGGGGAAGCACAATCATTTACAATGTACGATAGGTGGGGATGCTTTACAATCTGTAAAATGAGGGCTATCTGTAGTTCTCCAATCATTGTAACAATTATATGCCACCATGGGTACTAACCTCACTTCCACATTTCACCACTGGTAAATAAGATAAAGGAAAATGGAAAATCAGCTACTTGCAACCATTTCTCAGAACATGATTGCTTATACAATTAGGAAAAAATCATTTCTATAGTGTTAACATATAAGTTAGTAGGTGGGATTGCTAATTGCATCACATTAAAGTAGAATCTTAGCTGAAAAGCAAGGATTACATTTACATTATTTGTCTTTTACTTATATGCAACTCAAAAAATAAGAATACCTACAGTAAATGCTAGTCACTATAAAAAGCAACAGCCATGTAAAATGCTATTCAACCCATGTCTGCAGCAATTACAATCTCAAACAGAATGCAGTAGATTTCTAAAGACATGCAAATTTGACCCTAAATTAAGCTTAATGCTAAATTACACTCAGAATTCATATCCCATTAAGCAACAAATATACTATGTAACAAACAACCTCCTCCTCTTCTTAATGCCTATTAAACAATACTACAAAACATCTGGAATTTTCATACAGCCCTGTACGGTCACCTAGCAACTATTCCAAATTACAAAAGATGCCCCAAAGTAACTTATGATCCAGTTTAAAAGTTTCACCAGCTACAGCAGCCCTGTGCTCATTTAGCCTCATGACTGACTGAATAGATGCTACAGTGTGCCTACCCACCTATTTCCCGCAATCCTGTCCTGCAGGTCCCTATAGACACTGAGCCTACTTTGACACCCCTCAAGTGTCAAAGGGTTCCACACATTTCTCCACACCTCAGTCACTGACTGCTCACTTACCTTTTACCATGAAGGGTACCTTCTGGAAGCTCAGCAGATTGCATTGAGAATGAGAGCAAGGTGCCTCATTTGTCAGCACCCCCAAACCACATGAATGCAGCTTGGAAGCAGTGCTATTTTTACAATGGTTGAACTGAAAGTGCTCCAATTCTGCATGCTGGAGGTTTTTAAGAAGAGATTGGACAATATTTGTATGAAATGGTGTAGGTTTTCTGCTTGTACAGGTTGGGTTAGAAGACCTCCACAATCCCTTCCAATTCTGTTATTCTGTTAAAATCTACAGCGATAGGAATTATGATGTTCATTTATCTTCTATCAAACTATCAAGCCAATACTGAGATATTAAAAAAAAATCTCATGAGGATTTTTTTATGTCTAAAAAGGAACTTAGGCCCTATTCATATCCATGAGTTCAGATTCATGAGTTCAGGGAAAGAAAAAATGATGCTGGCAAATGCATTCATCCTTATTTATTTATTTATTTATTTGATTTATTATTCCCTTTTTTTATTATTAAGTCATCTCCAATCAGAGTATAAAATAAACAATAAAAGAAAACCATGACCATTAACACAAATGGACAAGAAGAACAGAAAAGAGCAGGAAATGCAACAGGGCAGATTCAATCAAAAGCTTGTTTGAATAAGTGGGTCTTTATCTGATGCTGGAAATTTACAAATCAATCCATTTTCTATACATGAAAGCTGGCTGGGTGACTTTGGGCCAGCCATTCTCTCTCAGGCTAACTCAACTCACGGGGTTTTGTGGGGAAACTAAGAGAAAGGAATATTAGATACGGTATGTTCACTACCTTAAGTTATTAATAAAAATAGTAAAGGCAGGATAAAAATAAATATTTTGGAGGAGGGGAGTTATTGCTTTTAATTATTATTTTTATCTTTGCAGGCCACCCAGAGTCACTGAGAGTGAAAATATTAATTTTCTTTATTTAAGAAAATAAGTCTAGGAGGCAGAAACAAATGTATCCCCAAATTCCCCCTAAAGCCAAGTGCTATCGAATGGGAAGGGACTTACCTTTCTTAAATTTTATCAGCACCAAATTTAAAAGTGTATTTGAGCTCCACTTTAGCAAATTTAAAACATTGTATATATACAGAATAATTCCAGTCTGAGCAGCTTTTGTAGCTTGAGTTTAAAGTTTTTGGAAGCTGAAGAAAACATCTACATTCAACTATTCACAAAGCTGAACGTAGAGCAGCTTCAACAACTATGAGCCTATTGTGTGATAGCCATTTGAAAAATGTCAGCATCTGGGCCTTTTTGCTATTTTAATGCATTATCTATTAATAAGGAACAAACTAGCATGAATGCTAGCAGATGTTAATGAACCATCTAACTCAGATGCAACCTGGAGGCAACATAAACTCACATCATTATACAAGTCCTCTACATCTAGAACTGGATGATTACACAATGCTTGGGAAATTGGGTTTATAGAGAACAATGGTCTTCATTGTAGTTTCCCCTGGGCTGCTTTCCTTTTCAGAATGCTAGGAAATATAGCTCATTTTATTTTCATTTTCTTATTGTTTCACATTTTATAATATTCAGTTCCATTTCCTTGTTCCTGTTATTGCATATTTGAGGTATCTCAAATTCACATACTCTATGGCCTACAAAATTGCAAATACTTCATGAAGCACATGGTGAAAGGAAACTTTCTATACTATGTTATGCAAATAACTTCTTCCTATTTGTGGAACATATCAGCCTTTCTATATCAATAATGTTTTAATTACTAAGTCATGATAATACAGTAATGCAGTTGTTCAGGTGTTTTTTACCCCTTGAACATTCTACATCCAAATTATTGAAGCATTATTATCCAATTTATTTTCTAAAGTAATATGGTAACTTTTCCCATCTGAAAAAAGAGTCTGATCCCACGCTTTCTCCAAGAACAAATTATGATGTATGAAGTCACTCAAGTTAATTCTAAACCAGACAGAAGTAGCTTGCTAACAATACTGATTATATAACTGATCAGTGGAGCCATGCCCTGTATAGACTTCTTATTATATTGGGCTATTAATTTTATTTTCATAGACTTACATAGCTTGGCAGCACAGAAAACAATAAAAACAGCAGTCTACCCGCCAAAATCAACATAAAAAATCTATTAACACTGTAAAAACTACTGGCATCCATGGCAATACACTCCTATATATCCACATACCATCTTACTGGTCTCTAATTTGTTCTGTTTCATTATTATTGTTCTTCCTGTTAACTACTTTGTCATTAACATAACCTATAGAAAATAGATGAATAAGTTGCAAATAGATTTAGTAGTTTAAAATTTTTGGGAGTGTTAGGGGTGGGAACTAATGTTGTAGTAATATATTGATCATTATTCAACTAGAGGGGATAATATATGTATATTGTGAATTTTTGATGCATATTTTTAATTTTTTGATTGTTTTGTGCGTAGGTTGCTTTTTTGGTTTCTTGATGGTTGTTTTGTGTGTGTGTGTGTGTGTGTGTGTGTGTGTGTGTGTGTGTGTATATATATATATATATATATATATAT